TATCTTTTTAAACAATATAATTTTAATTTGAACGGTTTCTAGTATTACATGCATGCATTTATTTTAATTTAATAAAAGTGTATGCATTTATTTATTTTTTACATTTTATTGAATATGAAAATGTGGATTGCGTACTTTATGTTTGTTTAAAAACTATTATAATATCAAATCATGTATAAGCATACCAAAAGAAAGTATTGAACATCTAACAAAAATCTTTGTGTAACCTCTAAATTTATATCTTTTTCTTTTTTTTAAAATTGAAATCACAGAAAGAAAAATAATTACACCATCGAAAATTATAATTAGATAAACAAATTTAAAATATTAAAAAAGAACATTAAAAAATATCAAAAAAAAAATTGTGATCAATATCAAACAGTGACTGAGAGACCAGAAAATATAGCCGTATTAAAAAAAAAACCAAATTTAGGCATTAAATAACGATAGAAGATATTTATGAGAGTGTTCATTGTGACAGTTACAACTAATGAAACTGATATCACGATACGACTTACGTGTAATAAAATCCATATGTTAGAGAATAATATTATAAATAATATATTTGACAAAAATCGGTTATTTTAAAAGTTTTAAAAAACGAAAACAAAATTTTTTTTAGTAGTTAATAATTGACAATTATTATATTATTAATTGTCTTCTCGACACAAAACCAAATTAAAAAGTACGTTAAATTGACAAAGTTTTTTGCAATCGGTTAGCACTGTAGTATCACTTGTATGGATTTTTTTTAAATTTAATAATAGTGTATGCCTTAACGCATTTTTTTTTTCATTTAAGAAAATTTTGCAAAAATGTAGGTATGGTTTTATATTTTCAACAATTTTTTTAAACCGAAAATGTGGATTAAGTATATCATTTTTGTTTATACACTATTATATAATTATATAATCGAGTTAGAGCGTATTAAATAAATAGGATAGATTGACTGAACATTTTCATTGTGATTATTAAAAAAAATTCTAAATAAAAAATATAGAACAGAACAAAAGTTATTTCAAGTGTCAGATCAGTGTGTTGCATACTGAAATTATAATTTTTTTTTTTTTTTTGACGTCTTTATTCTAAATGACTTTACTAAACATAATCTTTTCTTAATATTAAATTATAATGCAATTTAATTAACTGAAAAAATTCAATTGAGTGGCCACTAAACACTACCTATGATTTGTTTTTTGTTTTATTAAAATTTAAAATCGCAAAAAGGAAAATAATAACAACATAAAAACAATAATTTAAAAAACACTGAAAACT